TTATTGTTTATTCCATTCACAGTATTCTTTATTACTGTTATCTCAGATATCAGCTCCTTTGCAGTTTCTTCTTGAGTCTCTTCAATTCTTTTTAATCTCTCTATTAATGTCTTGATGTCTAAGGTTGTATTTTGAGACCATTCATTCTGGATGGGGTTCTTCGTTGTTGCATTCCAAAGTCAGTTTTCTCAATGTCTGCCCTCCCAGGAGTCTGGGAGAGACCCATATTCTTCTTTTGGTTTTTCTTCATTTGTGTAGATTTTTCTCTCTCGTTCTTTAGTGGATCAAGTTCCTGAGATCTAATCTCCAGCTTCTCTCCTCTGTTTCTATTGCAGGCAGTTAGCTTGTTGCCTAGGAAATCTGTGACATTAGTCTCTATTCATCGTAGGGGAGGGGCTTTGTCTCCTGTTAATGACGTCACCGTGGGAACCGAGGTGGAGGCGCTACTAGGTGGGCGGGGCGATGCGATGTAAATATGCCTTTAAAATGGCAGAGGTGGTGGTTTTGTTTTCACTTTTAGTGGGCTCCTGTGGGTCGCTAGGCGGGACCAGCTTCACAGCTGGGCGCTGGATCTGGGGTGCCTCCAGTCGGCTGGGGTGGAGGACAAGGTCGGGCGTTTCCTCCTCTGGAGCTGGAAGCCTGCGATCGGCACCTTACGCCAGCTTGGGGTTCTGCTCCCTTACACAGGCTTGTGGTCGCGCACGCTGAGTGCCTCAGCCAGGGTGAGCCAGGGGCTTCCGATCTACAAAGCTCCAGAGGGAAGGTGGTGGCTCTGGGTCCCTCCCAGGGCACTTTAGCCAGAAATCGGACCAGTATCTCTAAGTGGTGGGCGCTCAGAGCCTCCCTGTGTGACCGGCAGCTTCGCGCTGGGTGCTGGTCTCCAAGATGTGGCCAGGGATGGAGCTGGAATCTGGGACTTGGAATTCCCCAGGCAGCCGGAATCACATATAGTGGAGCAGCCATGGTCCGGCAGCAATGTCTGGCTCTACGTGGGACCAAAAGGCCCCAAGTCTCATACCAGTACAGCTGGAGGTGGGCGGGGGGTGCAGGAAGAAAAGTAATAGTCTTTTGGGGAAACTCACGTTCAGAGAATCTCAGGGATCCATCTATGCGGTTGCCATCTTCTGAAAATCAATTATGTGTTTTGATGAAATGATTTGCACATTTTGGTCTCCGGTTAAAGGAAATGCAGAAGGGGGTACGGATGAAATGTACCACAGTGGGGGCTTGCAGTTAAGGAATAACTTTCCACTTGCATGTCCTTGGACAGAAACAGGAGAGCCCGGAGTCTCCTGCCCTTCAGTATCCACATGCACGCTCATCATCTGAAATTACAGTTTTTAAAAAACTTATCTGTTTAATCAATAACCAAGTTTCTTGTTTTTAAGTTACTTTTGTTGTGTCAGTTCCACCAATGAAAATCATTTGGCTTGTACTTTAAAATCAATTCTTCCACATAAAGAATATGAAAATATGTTTGTGGAGGACAATGACGGAGGCTCAGATCACACTGCACCTCTTTAGTATTCCAATGTGTATATGCATCATACCAAAGTCTTGATCCATGGTGTGTTTTCCAAAGGAGTATCAGTGGCCAGTTGACATGCCACCACTATGGAATATTCTGAACTGGAGACTGCAATTGTCAGCATGTCGCACCAGGGAACATGGGAAAATAGGGTAGTTGAGATTGCTAAGGAGAATTCTAAAACAGTTTAGAAAATCATGCATAAGCATTTACAGTCCAAGTGATAGTGACTTTTGGCAGCTGCAAAGTGACTGAGACATGGCTTGCTTTGGAAGCATCAAAATGAAGAGGCATGTGTGTTTCAGAGCCTTTTCTTGCTGTTATTGTTCTTATCATTTGGTAGCCACCTGGTGGTGCTTCATATTGTATGTGGGAAAGATGCTGCATTCAATTGAACTTAAAAATTAAAATCTTGCCAGGCTTGGTGGCTCAGCCTGTAATCCCGCATTTTGGGAGGCTGAGGTGAGTGGACTGCCTGAGCCCGTGGGTTCAAGACCCACTTGGGCAACTTGGCGAGACCTCATCTCTACAATAAATCAAAAAATTAGCCGGGCGTGGTAGCGCACGCCTGTAGTTCCAGGTATTTGGAAGGCTGAGGCAAAGGATCGCCAGAGCCCAGCAGGTTGAGGCTGCAGTGGCTGGGAGCATGCCACTGCACCACAGTCTGGGTGATAGAGTGAGCCTCCAACTCCCAAAAAAAAAAAAAAAAATTAATTCTTTTGTTTGAAGGTTGCCTGTTGAGTCAAAATTGTAAGTACCTCCCTATGTTGCTTCAGGAATGAGGCTGGGATCTTCATCGATATCATCATCAGAGAAATACTGATCTATGATTCCAAATGCTAATTTATATATGTCTTCATTTTCATGTTGCTGCAAAACTTCAATTTTCTCTAAACCTCCACATTCCTCTATTATTTCAGCTATCGTGCTTGCTTCATCACCAGTCATTATTGGAATGCTTTTTTAGGCCATCTGGAACCACTTGAGAATCTTTCACTGACAGTAAATTATAAAACGGTGGTATTACATTCTGCTGTACAAGGTACTCAATCTGATCCTTTCTGCCATTTATTGTTAAATTGCTGATTGTCCAAGCAGTTTCCTTTTGTGTTCCCAAACCTCCCTTAGTTAGCTGATGAATAATCATAGGGATTAATCCAGCATCTATTACTGCTTGAACTTGTTGCTGGTTTGCCTGCTGTTATGTTGGAAAGGAACCATACTGCTTCCTTATTTATCTTCTTTTTTGGGTGTGATAAAATATTTGGGAAGTGTGACAGGACGTCACAATTGAGAACAACCTGGGTCTGCTCATCAGTGGCAGTCACTATGTTGCCTACTGCTCTGAGTGCAGCTGTTTGAACTTTCACTTCCTGGTGACTCAGAAAGGGCACGAGAAATGGCACAACCCCTGAATCAATAACCATCTTTATCTGCTCATCTGTCAAGTATGGCAGAGCCCAAACAGTGTCTACAAGAATGTTTATGTCTGTATGGTATATGAGGACACATAAAGCTGCCCAAATCTCCTGAACTGTCTCCATAGACGGTGGGGGATCCTTATTCCTGCTGAGATTGACAATGACCCATGTGACTTTCCCAAGGAAGGTGTTGGAAATGGAGGGACTGATGAAGGACGGAAGAGGTTTGACAACTCCCAGTGATATGACATAATCTCTACATTGAGGACCATCACCTATAATGTTTCCCAATGCCCACACTGTTTGTTCACAAACATTTTGATGTGGTGAATGAAGAAGTCTCAGAAAAAGAGGTACTGCATTAGATTGTACAATAGCTTGAGTCTGTGCAGAAGTTCCTGATGCTGTATTATTTAATGCCCAAGCAGCTTCAAACTGTAATGAAGGATCATCATCCCTTTCTAGACATTTGGCTAGAATTGGTAAAATCCCAGACTTTATTAGGTCATCAATTGGTGGGTTTCTCTCACTAGATAGTAGTTTTCTTGCTGCCTGCACAGCACCCAACTGGACCCCTGGGTTATCATTTGTGGCATTCTGCAATATAGCTTCTAGTGTTACATTTTGTGCTTTAAAATCAGCATTAACATCTGAATCTTCTAAACTTTCTTCTTGGGGAACATTTCTCTTTTTCAATAAGTGTTCATCCCTTTTGCTCTTCCACAGTTCAGCTTCATTTCTGTGCCTTTGCATCGTTTCCACATCACGGCCCTTGTTCTTGAAGCTCTCTCCAGGCTGGGGTTCACGGCCATGGCTGCGCGCGGCTGCTGCAGCACTGCAGAGGTGAGTCTCAAAGAGGGAGGGGGAGGTGGGGGGGAGAGCATGCCCCGAGTGCGAGGTAGCAGCTGCACCGGGGAAGGTACGGGTCATCTGCTGGGCCAGGAATGGCGCGTCAACAGCTGTTTCTTGAAGCTTGAGAACTAATTCCAACTGGGAATTCTCTTTCTGACTTTGGGTGAGGGAAATGCTAAGGAAATTTTTTAAGTGAGCACCAATTCTCAATCATATACAAATTATCACTTGGAATTTGTTTCATGTACTCACAGAAATCCCACTGTAATAAAATATGTTAAATACCAGTAACATTTTGTTCTGAAAGGTCCACTTAATATCAAGTTCACATACAAAGTTGTGAAATCTCAAAGGCTGTACAAGGATAATGGATGCTGCTGACCTTGTGTTGAGGAGGACCTTATTAAATCTAGACTAGGAAGAGATATTGTCACAGTCTCCTTTGGGGACTTCTTTGCAGCAGTAATGTCAGAAGAGACCACAAAATAATGGAAGTTATTCTAGTTAAAGATAGCCACTTTACTGTCCCTAGTATTTTCTTATAATAAAACAATAACATTTTGGATCATAAAGATGTGTTTATTTTCACAATAGCTGCGTAAAAGATTATTAACGATTGGTTTTTACTGAAATAGAGTTTAGTATAAAAGAAAAATAAAATGTTAAATCGAAACCTCAGTATCTTTCTTCCACAGTCTAGCCTTGGAAAAGCCATAAACCACAGTATTTTTATTTACTTCACTTTTTAGCAAGTTTTCACATGAGATCTTTGTCTCTGACCCCTAACAAAGTATGCTTCCTGGTGAAGACAACAGGGAACATGAGATGCAGGCCTTTTGTGGTGTTTCAGTGGGCTTTCCAATTATGTTTCCTGTGAGTAAACTGACATATTCTATGAGTAAACAGAGTTTGTTTGCATATTATTTTCTGTTAAGCTTTTCCCCACCATCCTGGGTAGGGTGAACCTTGCATTTCTGTCTGTACTCACAACATTGAAGAAACCCCAATTACAGCTGGGAGTCATGAGAACCATATCTAAGAAAAGTTATCTTTCTTTACTATCTGTAATTGGTCACTAGGCAGGGAGAGCTTAGGCACCGAGTAGAGCTAATAGGTATAGACTTTGCAAGCTGAGTGTGCCACATATTGATGATAAGAAAGAGGGATGAGGAACCATGGAAGAAGAAAAATCTGGAAGGCTGGAGAGGCTGGTGGGAAGAGGTTCAAGAAGAGTAAGTTGCTGTTGGCAGAAGGTGGATATGAGTTGGGGGCCTGAAATAAAGAATCAGTTGTCTAACGAGCTTTTATTTATTTATATTTATTATCTTTTTTCTGTGTGACATGCAACGCAAACTTTCCCAGATCCCATGAAATATTCTGTATATCTAAGACCCAGCTTATACTTGTGGGAGTGGATTCTGTGAAGTGCTGGCACTTGCTTCAGGGCGGCTGCTCAGTAACATGTGGGCTATACAACAAGGATTGACCATACATGTGCTCTGATTTGTATGGGATAGGCTTTGTATCTAGGATTCATTTACTGCCCTGCATTAATTATTTGAAAGTGCTCACTTTCACTTTCAAAAATTTATTTGCTTGGATGATAAATGATAAAGCCACACAAAATAGATTTTATCTATTTTGAAGACCAGACAAATTTTATCCTTATATTGCCTACTTAACTCTAACCCTGAGATTGTGGGCTACCTGAGGGATAGGATTTCATCTTCATTAATTCATTCAACACTATGTATTGAATTCTGTACATGTGTTAGATGCTGGGATACAATGAAGAAAAAGACATGGTCTCTGCACTCCAGGATTTTACAATGTGGTGGGGGAGGCTGATATGTAACCAAGCAAGTATAAATCAGAAAGACTCACAATAGGGTTCTTCTACCTCAGCACTCTTAACATTTTGGACTGTGCTTCATTGGATATTTCGCATTATTTCTGGTCTTTCCCACTAGATGTCAGTAGCATCTTCTCCAGTAGTGATGACCAAAAATGTCTCCAGACATTGCCAGATTCCACACCTCACAACTCACCCCCTTGCCACCATTGGGAACCACTCTTAAAAGTCTAGACCAAAGGCATCATGGGATGATCACTTAACCCATGCTTGGGTGGATTTTTTATTAATCCTTCATCCTCAATACCTATTCCATGCTTTAGATGGGTGAATAAAATGCATAATAGTCATGCTATTCTTCAAGATTCTTGTAATGAAGTCTGGTAAACTAGGGAAAAGTTTAAAGTGTGGGTCTTAGGCAAAATTTAAGAAATGAATTTCACTCTCAATCATTGGCCCCAACATTGTTTCCAGAAACACCCTCTGTAACCCCAAAGGGGCTTGCTTTCCAAATATCACTGGGCAGATTTTCTACTAGTTATTTTCCTGTTGATAAACACTGACTGTCAAGCACTTTGGCAAATACCAGGTGCCTGTAAATGTTAAATAGTCATTATAAAGCCACATAAATGTTTTAGATTTCATTATCCCTGGTGGGGAAATAAAAGAGCCCACCAAAATTAAAAAGAAGAAGAAGAAGAAAAAAAAGCCCTGACATTCAGTTAATGGCTTTTACCCACCAAATGAACCCACCTGGTAGCTCGAAACATAGTACGTCTGGTAGCTCGAAACACAATATGTCTTTTTTTTTTTTTTTTTGCAAAAGATCATTAAATCTGTCTCAATTTGGTGGAGGCATCCTGTCCCCAAGTCAGCTATTGTTTTGATTTAAATGAAGACAAGAAAATTCTCACCACAACCCACTTATTCCTTTTACACATTCTCTGTCTTAAATCAGACTGACACAGAACAATGGGATGGCAGAGCTGACTGGGAAGATGATCCTGAGACACATGATGGTTTCTCTTGGACATAATAAAGGTTTCCATCAATTAGTTGTGTGATTTTGGCAAGAGATAACGTCTCTGGGTTTCTATTGGTAAAATAGCACAGAAAGTAAAGCTGCTCTCAGCATTCACCCTGATTCTTTTATTTATAGTTGTACAACCTTAAAAACTCATGAAATGGAGGGGTTCACAGCATTAATTTTTATTTTGGAAATGGTAGGAAATGGCATACAAAACCTCAGCCTCTCAACAGTACTGACAGGGTTCGTTCATGAGTGTGATGAAACCTCGCAGAGCAGAGTTCTGAGGTTGGCAGCCACATAGAATGGATGGGCAGGCATTGCCTGCTCAGTCTGAGTTAATTCCCAACTCTTTCCTCACCTGTGCTGCCTGCTATGATGCTCTGTTGATGGAAACATGACCCAACTAATAGCCCTGGGTTTTGCATTATTGAATCTTCCAGTAATTCTCTGAAATCCCCTCCTTTTCCCAAGATAAACCTTCCCAGTGACTGCAGAGAGACCCACTGATGTTATTTAGAAGCTGCAATTAATATTTTTCCCTAAGGGATCCATTGTAAACCTAATTGTCAAATCATAATTTATTTGCTGACTTCCTGAGATTCATTTTATTTGCAGCACTCTTAACACACACAAAAAAACCCAGAAGAACAACCGCTTTTTTGTTTTAAGGTTGCTGCTAAACTTAAAGGGGAAACCCCCCTAAAACTTCTTCCCTCCTTCAATTCCTTCAGGAAGTGTCTCATTCTCAAGACTTATTATAAATGGGAAAGCAGTCTTAGGAAGCATCTGGAGGTCTTGAGTTCATAAAGTGAAAGTGCATAAAGGCAAGCAGAATATTAAGTTTTCATAATTACACCTTTTCGTGCATACAATTCCTGGAGTGAAATCAGCTTTGACTTTGGCTGATTTAATATAGCCTTTCTAATTTAAACCCATCCCTTCACTTTTACTTAGCTGTTGTTCAATTTAGAAGGGAAAAAATGGTACTTATTTCCCATTTTCACAAACCAGTAAAGATTCTATATTTCTAAATAAGAGTGATGAAATAGCATTTAATTTCTGACCTCCTTTCCTAATTCAAGAGCTTTGGGAAAGGAAAGTATTTCTGTTTTGGAGAGACAAACTTTAAAATGAGAGGGCAAAAGAGGATGGAGACACTTGGGTTAGGTGACCATGCCTAGAATAATGCCTTATTCAAAGTCAGCATGCATAGATTTTTATTGCAAGGACAATATTAAAAACAAGAGAGAAGACTAGATAATCTCACAGCAAGAGGTAGTTAAGACAGCATGCAATTAAAAAAGCTTCATTGAAAGTGGAATTTTTATGAAAATGAAGGGTTGTTAGAACAATTTGGTTCAGTAGGCAGAAGGAATCAACTGGAAAGATTTTGAGTTGAATCACAAGGAAAAGTGTCAGTTCTTTTGCTCTCCCAGGACATATGGTAGCACAAGAACATTCAGATAAATGTATGGTTGTTTTTGACTGAACGTCAAATGGCTGTGGGGGTCCGAATCCTAGTTAAAGAGCCATGTACACACAAATTGGAGTTTGGAGTTCATTCCTTTAATAAGCACTTACTGAATATCTGCTGTAAGTTGGGCTCTCTCCAAGTTAGAGCTGGTTCTTCAGGGAAGCAAAACCATTCCTGCCTTCAAGAAGCTCATTTTCTTGGATAGGAAACTACATATAAGCAGAAAACTGAAAATGTGGCATTGTCCTGTGGAACCTAGATCTGAGCAAGGTCAACTTTCCAGCCAGAAAAATTTCATTTACTTTAGAGAAACAAGTTTATATAATATTGCTCACATCAGAAAGTACTTCATATATAGTCTATCTCAAATTACTTTATATAAGCAACAGTATAAAGTCTTGATGAGTTCACTTTATTTTATTAGACATGGTAGAAAAGAGATTTCTCTCCTTGTACAAGTATTCTCTCCTTGTACAAGCATTTAGAAATTATATGAGTTTAGATGTTCATATAGTTTAGAATAAAATATTACTAGTTTCCTCTTTGGGGGAAATCTATAACTGAGTCTTTAAAACGATAGCATTTATTCAAGAGTAAATCATCAGTTTTTCAGATTACAC